GTGAACATTCGGGTGCATGTGCCCCTTTGGATCACTACATTTGTATCTCTTTTTTTTTTAAGATTTTATTTATTTATTTGTTAGAGAGAGAGAGAGATCACAAGCAGACAGAGCGGCAGGGAGAGGCAGAAAGAGAAGCAGGTTCCCCGCTGAGCAGAGAGCCCGATGCGGGACTTGATCCCAGGACCCTGGGATCATGACCTAAGCCGAAGGCAGCGGCTTACCCTGAGCCACCCAGGTGCCCCACTACATTTGTATCTTCACGGTAAATACCCAGTAGTGTGAATTGCTGGGTCCTAGGGTAGCCCTATTTTCAACTTTTTGAGGAACCTCCACACTGTTTTCCAGAGTGGCTGCACCAGCTTGCTTTCCCACCGAAAATGTAGGAGGGTTCCCCTTTCTCTGCATCCTTGCCAACATCTGTCATTTCATGACTGATTAATTTTAGCCATTCTGACTGGTGTGAGGTGGCATCTCACTGTGGTTTTGATTTGTATTTCCCTGATGCCGAGTGATGTGGAGCACTTTTTCATGTTAGACAGAAAATTTTGAATTCAATCTCCAGAGAATAAAATTCTCGGAAATTCAAAGGAAAGCTCATTGCCAGCTTGAGTTTAGGGCTTAACTAATGGAGTCGGTTAATGAAGGGAGAATTCTTATTATCAGTTCAATAGACATCAATAAATCATTCATCAAAATTCAGTGCTCCTGTCCATTTTTTAAACATGAAAATCTCAACTTCGAAAAGTTACCTATTCCAAATTGAGAGTCGACCTTATACATATAAGTGTGAAACACTAGAATTCCCCCTTAAAACCGAAAGAAAAGCAAAGTGTTCTAAAAGCCCAATGGTTCCATTATTTTTTCATCTTTATTGAGGTATAACTAACTAAGAAAATTGCGTGATACCTAAGGTATACATTGCAGTAACTTGGAGTACGTGTACAATGTGAAAGGGTTCCCACCATCTAGTTCATTAACACACTCATCACCTCACATATTTATTTTCTTTGTTAGTTTTTGATGAGAGCAATTAAATTCTACTCTCTTAGAAAATTTGTTTAAAGATTTATTTATTTATTTTAGAGAGAGAGAGAGTGCAAGCGGAAGGGCAGAGGGAGAGAGAGAACCTCATGCAAACTCCCTACTGAAGGCAGAGCCCCATGCAGGGCTTGATCTCATGACCCTGAGCCAAAACCAAAAGTCAGACTCTAAACTGTCTGAGCCACCCAGGCGCAATTTCAGTTGTATAATACAGTGTAGTAATCAACCGTAGTCATGTTGTATGATAGGTTCTTAAGTCTTATTCATCTTATAGCTTTAAAAGTGTATACCTTTTTACCAACTTCTCCCTATTTCTTCCACTCCACAGTCCCTGCCAACCACTTTTCTATTCTCTGTTTCTAGGATTTTGACTTTTTTTTTTTGGTTCCACATATAAGTGATACCACGTGGAGTTTTTGTTTTTCTGTGTTGGGCTTATTTTACTTAAGATAATGCCCTTAAGATCCATCTATGTTGTCACAAATGGCAGCATTTCCTTCTTTTCTTGTGGCTGAATAATATTTTATTGTGTATATGTATACCATGTTTTTTTTATCCATTCATCCATTGATGGTCACTTAGGTTGTTTCCATATCGGCTATTATGAATACTGCTACAATGAATATTGGAGTGCAGATATCTCTTCAAGATCCTGTTTTTATTTTTTCTGGGTGTACGCCTAGAAGTGGAATTTCTGGATCATATAGCGGTTATGTTTTTAATTTTGTGAGGAACCTCCATACTGTTTTCCATGGTGGCTGTACCAATTTGCATTCCTACAGTGCGTAAGAGTTCCCTTTCTCTACATCTTCACCAAATTGTTATCTCCTGGTTTTTTTTTTTTTTTTGATGATATTCTATCAGGTGTGAGGTGATAATATCATTTTGGTTTTGATTAGCATTTCCCTGGTCATTGGTGATGTCGAGCAACTTTATATGTCTTTGGAAAAATATTTATTAAGTTCCTCTAATCAGTTTTTAATTAGATTGTTTGTTATTTTGTGCTATTGAGTTGTATGAATTGCCATTATTTTTATTGCGATTTTCACACATATATATTACTTTTTACTTTCTAGAGAGAGCAATTAAAGACAAAACCCCTATGTGAAGGTCTTGTGTGGTGACCTTGGACAGCAGTGAGGAAGGGGGCCCACAGGAGACTGTGGCACTGTCTGGCCTGGTTTAGGGGAGAGGACTTTGGAGAGGTGTGGAGGCAGCTACTTTAGGGCAGTCAGATCCCAGGTGGAGCTGTGACAAAGCTTGGGACACCTGTTACTCACTGGTGAACTTGTGCAGAACTCCTACTTGGTTTGTTTTTGTTTTATTTGAGAGAGAGAGAATGAAGGGTTGGGGTGGGGGACAGAGGGAGAGGGAAAGAGAGAATCTCAAACAGATTCCCTGCTGAGCACAGAAGCCCCATAGTGGGGCTTGATCTCCCCATCCTGAGATCAGGACCTGAGCTAAAACCTAAAGTTTGTCTCTTAACCATGTAATTCAGGCACCCCAGAACTCCTACTTGTAAAGGAATCTGTTAAACAAGCAGAGGTGTGGAGGTGAGGGGAAGCCCCAGAAGAAGAGTGTGGTGACCAAAACTGTCCCGAACTGTCTCCATGGGTTGGGAGTTTCACCTTTTCATCTCCTGAGGGACTAGCCGATGCCCATCTCCCACTGTCCTCTAGGGGCACTGTGATTCCCTCCAAAACGCGCAGAGCCAACTTGTGCAGTTCCTTTACTTAGTTGAGCCAAGAAAGAAAGGTTGGTGGCAGTTTTCCAGACATATTTAACCAAGATACAAACTAGTAAAAAGAATTCAAAATTTTTGTACAGACACATATTTGGCACAAATGCCATTATTTTATTTCTATAGTTAATGTACTTATTATTTATCCTACTCACTACCTGACCTCAAAAGGAGTTGGAATGTTTTACAACTAAAGAGAGATGCTATAGGAACATTAAAATAAAGAAAAAGAACAAGGTTCATGAATTGAATATCAGGACAGAGGTGGGGGAATTCAGTTAGACCTGAGTATAAAAAACAAAAACAAAAGAGAACAGAACAAACAAGCACCCTCAGAGCCTTCTTGGAAGCAAGGCAAAAGGGAAATTGTCCATTAGATGATAACATAAAATTGACCAGTTTGGGGGTGCCTGGGTGGCTCAGTGGGTTAAGCCGCTGCCTTCGGCTCAGGTCATGATCTCGGGGTCCTGGGATCGAGTCCCACATTGGGCTCTCTGCTCGGCAGGAAGCCTGCTTCCCTCTCTCTCTGCCTGCCTCTCCGTCTACTTGTGATCTCTCTCTGTCAAATAAATAAATAACATCTTTAAAAAAAAAATTGACCAGTTTGTCAAGAGAATATCAATTCTTTAAACAACAACAACAAAGTCACCAAAGTCTAGCCACAGGTGGTTAGATCACATTGTTTAACAGGAACATAGACACCAGCTCTTTTTCTGATCTCTCTTGGTCCCTTGGATTTACCTGAAACATTTCCACCCTCTGCTGGTAAGTCTGGTCCTACTCTTCCATGAAGGCTATATTCTTGGCTGCTTTGGAGCTGTCACTTTCTGAGCAACCATGGGGCTCCTGGTGGTACCTTCTTTATATCATTGATCACCTCCTACCACATAGCATCTCTTCTTATTTCAAAGCTGTGCCTCTCGCTGGACCAGTGAATACATTCTCCAAGCACCCTGCTGAGGGATGCTTAGAGGTTCCAGTTTATCAGCAGAGCAGAGATGATTAGCATTCCTTATGCCTAATGAGGGATCACATCCTTCCTAGCTTAGATCATCAACTTTCCTACTGGAGCCAGGGACTCTCAACTCTTTTCTTGGGGCACCACTCAGAGAGGTGACCTTAGAGAAGGGAGTTCCTCGAAGTGTAAAGCATACCTGAATGTGTTGAAGTTATTTGTACAATTTCATGAGGGGGATTACATATATATGAACACATTTTTCTGGTAAAAGTGTCCACAGTCTTAATGATACTCTCCAATGGACTCATAACTCCAAAAAAAGTTAAGGATCATCATTGTAGAATTCTGTCACTGTATATGTGCAATGTTGTAAGACTTTCACTGTGAAATCACTTGCACATAAGGAGGATGGTCTTCTTTTGCCTTGACCTTAGGGCTATATCTTCTATACCCACTGCTCAGGATAAGGCTAGGATAAAGGATAGGGATAAGGATAAAACTTAACTAAAGTTAAGTTTTCGACCCTTCCAAAACTAAAACCCATTCAGTATCTCTAACCCTTTTTTCTGACATTTTTTTCTGTTGCCAAATCATAATGAAACTACAATTAATACATCTATGGTGCTTTCTGGTTTATAAACTACATCCAGATACATCACCTAATATGATCTCCACAATAATACTGGAAGGTGAAGCATTCAAGTTTCCATTTTACAGATGAGAAACCTCAGACACCGAGAGATTTGGTGGCTTATTCAAGGTTTTGCTAAAATTTGTTGGTTCTGGGTCCATTCTGGAATCTGAGTTCTGTGATATGTTTACAGCCTAGTCAATCTTCCAAGGACCACAATGAGATTGGAAAAGCTGGACTTTCAGCATAGTTGAAACCATCCCAAACCACTAATACTTCTTCCTGTTGGTTTAGCTTTCTCGACTTAATGCTCTGAAATGTGATCTCAGCCCCTTGGTACACACATCATAAATTACTGCTCACCATATATATTATAGTGATTCACTAGGGGATAGCTCCCGTTATTAGCATGTACAACACATATTAAACCTTGGATACATAGACTAATGCCCTGATCACAGAGTTAGCCACGATAACAAATATAATAGTGGGGGTTGGGAGGTGTGATGGTGGTAATGGGAGCTTTTCTTTATCCGAGACAGACTTCAGTTGCTTTAGACCACTTGCCCAAAAAAGATTTGACTCTTAATCCATCAAAAAGTGCTTACCCTGATCTACTCCCACAGGAGGCCTATGTGACTCAGCAGGATAAAATCCGTCTGGTGGGGGAGTTGGTGACCATCATGGGGGCTGTGATCATCTTGCTCCTAGAGGTGAGGTACCATCAAGGTCCAAGCTGAGGCCATCCATCTGGGGTCCCAGATTGAGCAGCAGTCCACATTGTCCTTTTGTTTTACTGGCCTCTTCCTAGATCCCAGACATCTTTAGGGTTGGTGCTTCTCGATATTTTGGACAGACTATCCTCGGGGGACCATTCCATGTCATCATGTAAGTGTCCCTTCCTTTCGGTCTCCTGCCTTCCCTTGCCAGAATTGTTCCAGGTCTCCCACTTACTCTCTGGGACCTAGAGCTCAGTTGACCCTCACCTTCAGGGATTTCTCTCCAGCGAGCTCGTATGTGTATTTTGGATATAAGGACTAAGCCTGTGGGGGTACTACCCCAAGTTTTCATCATGCTAGAGGGGACCAAGAATTTTTCCTCTCTCACTCATTGTTCTCTGCCCCCCGCCCCCAGCATTATCTATGCCTGCATGGTGCTGGTGACCATGGTGATGCGGCTCTCCAACATGAATGGAGAGATGGTGCCCATGTCCATTGCCCTGGTGCTGGGCTGGTGCAGTGTTATGTACTTCGCTCGAGGATTCCAGATGCTTGGTCCCTTCAGCATCATGATCCAGAAGGTCAGTGCTTTCCCCAAAGCTTCCTCTGGCTTCAGCCATAGGACATTTCTAGACAGAGGGAGGAAGTCAGAGCAAACAGGAAAGCAAAATGCTGCTCTGAGTGAATCTGGTGGAGCTAGGGGGCCTTAAGTCTAGCAGGATGGCTGCAGAGAGACAGGTGGAGAAGGGCCACTCCACCTTCCCTTCCCTTCCGTTTCCTGTAGATGATTTTTGGAGACCTCATGCGTTTCTGCTGGCTAATGGCTGTGGTTATTCTGGGATTTGCCTCAGGTAAGAGCACTCTCCCCTCTTCTACTAGGTCATGGAGTCCAGTTCTTCAGAAAGTTGGCTCACTCTTGCTCAGTTCTCATTTGTACTCTGTTTTGATCATCCCCCCAACCCCGGTAGAAACTGACTAAAAAAGTACACTCATATCCATAGGATCAGGGTCACTCAGGTTGGCTTAGAAGGGAAACCATGTGCTCTGACCAATAACATTCATGTTGACTAACTGCTCTGCAAGATCTTTAAAGAAGAGATAGAAGAAAAGCTTTGGAGAGAAAGGGCCATTAAGCAGGAAAGACTGGCCAGTTGCAGATCTCAGAAAACTATGTGGGCAAACAGAGACAGTGCAATATTCAACTCCTCTATGTTTATACTTCAGAAGAAGAAAGAAAGAATTCAGTAACACAAAACATACTTTTTTTCTTCCTATGTGTGAAAAGGAGAAGAGGAAGAAGAGAGAAAAAGAAAGAATTCAAGGAGGAGGTGCCAAAAGAGATTCTAGAAAGTTTGAGAATGAGGGAGGAAAACAGAAGAAAAATAGTTGTAAAGAGAGTTTAAAGAAAGAATGAGCTAGGTCTCAGTCTCAGCCCAAGCCACTGGTGGGGGCAGAGGGGGAGCATCAGGGTAGAGAGAGGAGCATAGTCAGAAAATAACAGCCAGTGTCTGTTGGGTGAGGGAGGTGAGGGAGGGTGAGCGTGGTGAACAAGTAGGAGAAAGTTCTTAGGGAAAGGTGCTAAGAGGATGGAAGAGCAGTAAGATTGGCAACTCAAATCCAGTCTCTAACATCTACAACTAAACATCTATGAGACAAGAGGATGTCCTAGGCAGTATTTGAAGACATCCCCCCCCCCAATTCTAAAAGACCATGGCTTTTAGTACAAAGGGCACTATTCTTATCCTAAGAATTCCCATTTAACAGGGATTTCCACCAAATAGTAGACTAAAAAAATACCCCAAGATCTGAGCTAGGAATGGGTAAAACTGTGGTAGTCTGCCTATTTGGAGTACTCCTTCTGTATTCCTTCTCCCTCACTCTCCACCCCATCTGCACACTTCATAAATTACTGTTCACAACATGTGTGTGTAGTTACATAGTATGCATATGTTGCATATAGTATATGGTATCATGACTTGGTGACTACAGAACGAGGCCATGATGATGGAGAAGCTTTCTGTAGATGTCCTATACCCAGAATCTCCTAAACCATCTCTTCTCAGTTGTTGTACTTGCTTTTTGATGCTTTGTCATAGACCCTATTTCCATTCTTGAGATCCTTTAGTTTATATTTCAGTTCCCCATACAGACAGGAATCTTTTAAAGGTTCTAATACCGTAGTACAGGATGTGCAGTATTATCCAGCAGGCTACACACTGAGCAGGGAAACCTTCTCCATGAGGGTCCAAGATCACCCAGGGAATCTACATGATGACATGGAATGGTCCCCTGAGGATAGTCTGTCCAAAATATCGATGGGTGGTTATTTAAAGGTCACTGAGATTTTTTTTTATAGGTGCTTTTCTTTTAGTCATTTCATATGTCAATTCTTTGAAATTGTTGGAGATTCCAGGCATTCTTGTAACCAATCATCTTTTAAATATTCTATTTTCTAAGATATGAAAAGCAGTTAGGTGACTTATTTTGTGTGTATGTAGTAAGTCACCTAACTGCTTCTCACTACATAGATGTGTATATTTATAATACACGCACATACTTTATATACACATTTTGCTAAATGACTGAGTATTACCATTGTCCAGAGTGATGAACTTGGTTATCTGACATCTCAGGGTTTGCCAGATCCACATGTAGAATATGACTTACATGTATACAGTCACATATGTACACTTATGGGCTTATCTGTGTGTCTGCAAGTGTGTAAGTATGTGGAGATATGACTAGGCCCATACTTATTGTGATAACTCCCTGTTTCCCCACCTCCATGCCCACTTCCTGGGCGGAGCAGCGTTCTATGTCATTTTCCAGACAGAGGACCCAGCCAATCTGGGGCAATTCTATGACTATCCCATGGCACTGTTCAGCACCTTTGAGCTTTTCCTCACCGTCATTGATGGGCCTGCCAACTACGAAGTGAACTTGCCCTTCATGTTTGGCATTGTCTACTTTGCCTTCACCATCATCGCCACACTGCTTATGCTCAACCTATTCATCGCCATGATGGGTGACACACACTGGCGGGTGGCCCATGAGCGGGACGAGCTCTGGAGGGCCCAGGTGAGTTTATTAGTGTTAGTCTTACTAGGGGAAGAGTACGGAGAGAAAAATCAAAGTGGGATATGCTATGATAGATGACTCTTAGGAGAGTCACAGAATAGTCCAGTGGGGTTATCACCGCCACAAAGATATATTTGGTAGAGGAAGAGACAAAAGGAGGGTAAAATAGTATGATAGGAGTGGTTCAATACCCGAGAGCTGAAGTATTGGTCATAGGGGGAAAGTAGGTCTAATAGTCAACCTTGGGGCTAGTAAGAACTAGAAAATGTCTTATTCTTATATATTCTAGTTTTTAATTTTTAAGTTTAGTTATTTTTTAAAGTTCTTTTTTTTTTTTTATTTTTTAAGCAATCTCTATACCCAACTTGGGGCTTAAACTCACAACCCTGAGATTAAGAGTTGCATCTTATGCTTTACTGATTGAGCCAGCCAGATGCTCCTATATATTCTAATTTTTAATTTGGACCTTATCTTCTATTTTTCTCCCTGTTTCTCTATGATTTTTTCTTTATATCATTGAGAATAATACAATTTTAGAGTTGGAAATATCTTTAGTGGTCCTCTGGTTGAGCTCCTAGCCAGAGATAAATTATTCATTGGTAAAAAGGTCATTTAATATATTCTTTACTGCTGATTAGGATCTTATTATCACATGGTTTTGGATAACCATTGGGAGGAGGAGAGGTCTAGTCTTATTTCAAAAGTCTTTGTTACTAGAAATGTTTATGTTGCATTGAGCTTAAACCTATCTTTCTACAGTTCCATTCTTTGGGCCCAGCCTTTTCTTCTCATACAACACAGAACATATTTTCTGTATGAACACCATTCAGACATTTGAATAAAACCATCATTTATCCCCTCAGACTTTCCATTCATTTAATAATAATTACTTAGAGCCTGTTATATGTTGAGAAATATCTAGGAGCTGGGGACACCAGCTGAACACAGATGTCATCTGTGTCTTCATGGAGCCTACAGTCTGGTTCCGAAGATGGCCATTAAACGATGGACTTCCTGGAAGCCTGTACAATTACAGTAGTAAAAGTGTCAAAGAGAAGTAGAAGATACTAAGAACAGGATGCAACAGAGCAGTCTGATGGGAAAGTTAGGAAATGCTTTCCTGATGGAGTAGCATTTAAGACGAGCCCCTAAACCTGGGTAAGAATTAGCCAGTTAAGAATATGAGAGAAAGAGATGAAGGTTAGGGGTTGTATCATTCAGGACTCTTGGCTACAGGGACAGAAAACCAAACTCAAATAGACTTGAAAAAAAAAAAAAGGCATTGGGGGGAGGCTGTATTGGTCCTCATAACTGGAAAGTTTAAAGTACTAAACCAGCTCTAGGCGTATCTGGCCAGAGCTGTATCTCCATTTCCCACATGACATTAGTTTCTATGTTCTGCTCTCCTATCCAGACTCTGCTAAGTCACTCTCTCCCATCATGTTGGTGAGATGTCTTCTAGAAGCTCTAAACTCCCAAAGGAATGAGTAGATGTTCTGCACTGCACAATTCCAAGGGCCCCTTTCCTGTAGTAATCTGTGTGCTTCCTGATGCTGTACAATATGTAACCCCTTAGAGAGCATCTTTCCCATGAGAATCCAGTGTAAGCTCCATCTCACTGCAACTTAGTTCCATCCGGTCTAAGTTCCATAAGCACATCCCTGAATTTGAGGTTAAGGCCAAGGACTGGTGAGTGGTGATGGTGGTGCTGGAGTTTAGGGGAGAATAGACTAATTAGCCAGGCCTGTGTGTAGTCCAGTCTACCCTAACTGATGGACAAAGTGGTAAAGGGGCAATGCTCTAAGAGAAAGGGGTTCTGTTACCAGAACAAGGGGCTGACTTATGGCACCACAGGACACATAAATGTCCTTTTCAAGATAAAGAAGAAGAGTGCTATAGGGAAAGGGAACAAATGATTAAAATTCCTGAGGTTGTAGGAAACTTGGTGCGACTAAGAAAATCAAGTGGAAGAACATGACATGGGGAATTGGGCTACTTTAATGATTGCTGGTGCCTTCAACTAACCAAAATCATGGTCCTTTCAAAACTAGAGTGGTCCTGATAGGATTGGAGGAATGCAGTATAAAAAGGGGTCATGCCTTTCCTTGCTTTGGACACTATAAATGGAACCTCAAATTGAGCCAGGTGTTTTAGCAAATATACAATTTGCCTTTATCAAGATCATGATCAACTAGAACTCTTGTATCTTTGTTATGCAACTTAATTAGTAAAGCCCCTTTGCCATTTTCCTGTAGTTATACAGATCCTTTGTCTTAAACATAAATGTGTAGGACCTTATATTTGGTTCTATTAAATTTCACATTTTTGATTTTTGACCAGCATTCCAGTCTGATGAGATCATTTTTATATTGCTTCTGTCACCTCACATATTATATATCCCTCCCAGTTTTGTGTCACAGGCATATTTGATAAGCTTGTCTTCTATGTTTCATCTAAGTAATTAATGAGGGCTGGTCAAAGGACAGAATATGTGATATGCCACTGGAATTTTCCCTGACAAGTTTACAGTCATTAACCCACTCTTTTTCTTTGTAGGATACGGGTATATAATTTGCTGTAAATTCTCTGAACATTAGCAGCATTGTTTCATCTCTACCATCATAGAGATTCTATTTAATCATTTCATTTAAATCAAGATAGCTAGTCTATGGCTTTCCTATGAAAAAGCAAATGAAATTAGTTTGGAGTGGCTCATTTTCTATGAATGTGAATAGTAATATAAGGGTCATGGTTTTATTAAAAATGCCCATAAAATATTTTCTCTCTCCTTTTATGATGGATGATGAGCATGATGCCTGGCACAGGCTAGGGCATGGCTAAATGACTGTCATCTCTCCAATCTCTGGTATTCTCATCTGACAGGTTCTTCTTTGGTACCTATGTCAGTGGCTTCCAGTGTCCCCTGAAACATCATGACTCTTTCTGAGTTTCCTCTACCTCTTACTCCTCCCAGGTGGTGGCTACCACAGTGATGCTGGAGAGGAAGCTGCCTCGGTTCCTGTGGCCTCGCTCTGGGATCTGCGGGTACCAGTATGGGCTGGGAGACCGCTGGTTCCTGCGGTGAGTGACAGTGTATATATGTAAAGTGCCAACAAGTGTGAGGCCGTGGGAATAGGGTGACCAGTTCCACATTTATCACACATCTTTTCATTACTGAGATCCCAAATTGGACCAAAAGGAGATGTCATCACTCTATAAAGTGAGACTGCATTAGCCTGTTTAGGGGAAGTGGGTGGAGCTGATGAGGAGGGTGACAAGACCGCTAATAGCTGATGCCAGGTTGTGAGTACATCAGGGCAGTAATGTGTGTGTGGCTGTGTATGTGTCCATGCTCAGATGTGGGCATGGGCTACCCAACTCATTCTATTTTGTTCCTACCTGACCCCCATTTCTAGTATATTCTTGCCTTGAAGCTAACCTTCTCCATATTCGACCTTCAGCTCCTGACCATGGTTCTTCCCATGCTCTCCTTTTTCTCTTTCATGTTCCCTACTAAACACACACACACACACACACACACACACACACACACACACACACATGTCCCACTACTTTCCAAATCCTGACTGCTTACCTCTTTGGTCTCTATCCCACTTTACCCTCCATTCTACTGTACTTCCATTCATTTGATCCTGGGACTCTGGTCCTTTCCTTCCCCGTCCTCTTGGTCCTGTTTCCTCTGTGCATTCTTTCTACCTCTCTTTCTCATCATAGTCCTTTTCTCTTCACCTCAACTGAGTCCCTTCCCTTTGCCCTCCTCAGAGTTGAGAACCACCACGATCAAAATCCTTTGCGAGTACTTCGCTACGTGGAAGCTTTCAAGGGCTCAGACAAAGAGGATGGACAAGAGCAGCTTACTGAGAAACAACCCTCTGTTTCGGCGACTGAAAGTGGGACCCTAGCCAGAGCCTCTCTGGCACCACCCACCCCCTCCCTGTCCCGGACCACATCTCACAGCAGCAGCCACCGGGGCTGGGAGATCCTTCGTCGCAACACCCTGGGACATGTGAATCTTGGGCTGGACCTTGGTGAGGGGGATGGAGAGGACAATATCTATCATTTATGATGAGGATCCTTATTACTGTTGGCCTGACAAACGGGTGGGCCTAGTTGGGGACAGTGCCTAATTTTCATGCCTGTTAATCATGGGGAGGAGGTGAACAGAATAATTCTTAAAGTCCATATCTCACCCTTCACATCAGCATTTCTGGAGATAGGCAATGGGCATCTGTTGCCCCACATACCTCCTGGGTTCTTAGAAGTTCCATATCTTGAGAAAAAAGGTATCTCTTCAAGCAAAGTTGGATTTGGCCGTCAAAGATATGAGGTAGGGATGCTAGACTAACATGTGGATCATCTTTCTTTCTGCCTCATGCAGGGCCTAGAACGTAGTAAGCTGTGAAGCCTGCCTGATTCCACAAGCTTACCATAGGAAGAGCCAGGCTTGGCACTGAGGTTGTGGCCCCTCCCTTTTTCTTATATCCCTTTAGGACTTTCTCCTTACCTAGCAACCAAACCCCAACTAGAAAATTGCAAGGCGAAATGTCCTTTATTCTTGTCTTATTTTTAATAATGTTATTGTGGGAAGATACACATAACATAAAATTTACTATTTTAACCACTTTCAGGGATACAATTCAGTGGCACTAAGTCCACTTACACTGTTGTATCACCATCGCAGGACGATTTCATCATCCCAAACTGGAATTCTTATATTCCTTAAACATGAACTCCCCACCATCCCCTCTGCACAGCCCCTGATAATCAATATTCTACTTTGTGTCTATGAATTTGCCTACTCTAGGTACCTCATGGAAGTGGAATCACACATTATTAGTCCTACTGTGCCTGGTTTATTTCACTTAGCATAATATTTTCAAGATTCATCCCTGTTGTAGCAGGCATCAGAATTTTGTTCCTTTTAAAGGCCAAATAATATTTCATTGTATGGATAGACCACATTTTATTTATTCATTCATCCACTGGTGGACATTCAGGTTGTTTCCACCTTCTGGATATTGTGAGTAATACTGCTATGCACATTGGTGTATAATTCTCTTCAAGTCCTTGCTTGTAGTTCCCTTGGGTATATTGCTAGATGTGGAATTGCTGGATCTTATGGTAATTATAATTTAATTTTTTGAGGAATTGCCGCACTGTTTGTTGTTTTTCTTTTTCCTTCTTTCCCTTCTCCTCCTCCCCCCAAACCGTTCTTCTTCTTCTCCTTCTCCTCCTTCTCTGTCCCTTCCCCCTCCTCCTCCTCCCCTTTCCTCCCCCCCTCCTCCTTTCCTCCTTTCCTCCTCCTCCCCTTTCCCTCTCCTCCTCCTCCCCCTCCTCCTCCTTTCTTCCTTCTTCTTCTGTCCTCCTCCTCCTCCTTCTTCTTTTTGTAGCCATCCTAGTGGCTATGAACTGGTATCTCATTGTGGTTATGATTTGTATTTCCCCAATGACTAAAGACAATGAACATCTTTTCATAAGCTTTTTGGCCCTTTCTATATTTATTTTTTGAGAAATATCTATTCAAGTCCTTCATCTATGTTTGAATTGTGTTGGTTTTTTGTTGTTTTTGATTGTCTTACCCTTGCTTTTTGAGGCTCCCAGTCCAAAGTGTTTGTATCTTCTTTGTGTGCAGGTGTATGTTTAAGTAAGTGTGGTAAATTATGCCTTTCTGTGCTTGAACAGCTCAATCATTTCTTTTATGGGACCGTACCCAGTCTGTCCCTCAGGTGGCTCATTGGAAGCTAATCACCCTTGTGCATGGAGGTAGCAGGCTCCTGGCTACGTTTCCTGTATCAGCCATCCTCCACCCCACCTCCCTCTGCCCCTGTGCTGAGTTGTGGGGTGGGAACAACAATGCAGGATGGGCCATCCCTCTCCAGGGAGGAAACTGGGAGATAGTGTTCAGGGGACCCAGTACCAGGCTCATGAGAGCCTCCCACTTGTCTCTAGTCCTTTGCACCTCACCCAAGCCCTATCACCACCTTCACCCAAAAGCCATAATATCTTTTAGGAGGATTGTGGTCTGGAATAGCAAAGAGGTGAGTGGGATTTGTAAAACCACTGGCAGGTTCATCGAGATACTCTTACAAAGCACAGATGAGTGTGGGACAATGAGGGATCACATGAATGTACAGGCACAGAGTCCTACACACTGGGCCACAGGTGGCAGGGTTTCTAAAAGTGCTCAGTTGTTGTGATTCCTCTTATTTTCCTTACAATGGAAGCTAAACTCCCATTTGAGTTCCAGATTGTTTTCTTTCTGTCTCTTCAGACTGCTGTGTCTATCACTGTCCTATTTTGTGTATCTTCTCATTTGTGTATCTCACCCACTCCCTCTCCACTAGCTCTGGAGGTCAGCAAATAACCATGCTCTGTTCTTTCCCATCTTCAAAGAAATGGCAAACATCCTCCCTCAACCTTTCTCCCTCCTTCCAGCTACTGCCCTATCTTTTCTATATCGGATTCAAACTTCTTAGGGCCAAACTTCTTAGAGAAGTCTCCATTGTCTACTGACCTCACACTGAGTTCTCAACCCATTGTGATTTGACCTTGCCTCTTCATGCTACCGAGATCTCTCCTGTTACCTACCTGTGGGTAAGCTCACTGAACAGTCTCAATCTTGCTTGAACTCTTGGTAGCCTTCAGACTATAGTCGACCACTTACCACCTCTCAGCACATTAGTACCACACACTCCTACCATGCTGGCTGCTTCTGTTCTACAAATCCCTTAAATATTTTTGGTTCACAAGTCTCTCTGTTATTCTCACCACCTGGGCAGTCTCACCTGCTTCTGTAGATTGTATTAACACGCACATGTTCATGACTCCCCACTCCCTATCTTGGTTCAGATCTGTCTCCTAAGCTCCAGGCATGAACAGCTTGGATGCCTATCTATTAGACAGCTGAGCCTGGATATTTTACAAACACCTCAAACTCAACATGTCCCAAACTGAACAGCTTTTTTTCCTCACCAAACCTGCTCCTCCACCAGAGTTCCCTACCAAATAATGGGCAAAGTTGCCTAAGCCAGAACCTGAGCGCCATCTTAAACATATTTCTGTCAACTCTCAAAGCCAGTAAATCTTGAATCTTGTAGATTCTGTTCCCTAAAACATCTGCTTTGAAAAGAATTAATTTTGATTAGATCATACATGACATAGCACAGAATTCAACAAGCACACAAGGTATACAAGGGAAAAAAAAAAACTTTCCACCTTCTGGTGTTCTCTCCAGGGACATTCATTAATAAAAGTTTAATAATCCTTCCAAAAATACTCTGTATATATCCAAGCATATGTATGTATATATTCCCCTTAAAAAAGCTTATAATGGTACAACTTGTTAGAAAAAGTTTTTGCTTTTTTCACTTTATACATTTTGAAGACCCTTCCATATCCAATATAAAATCTTCCATTTGTCTCTGCCTCTGAACCCACTGCATTCCAGGAGTAGGTTCCTAACTGCTCTCTTTGTCTGCAGTCTTGGTCTTCAATTCATCATCCACACTGTGGCCAGAAGGGTCTTTGTAACACACAAGTCCTGCCCCCAAGTGTGGTCTTCTAGAAGCCCTCCTCAAGCTGACCCCAGGCAACCCTCCAGCCTCCTTACACCTCTCTTCTTTCAAGCTCTATTGCACCAAGCTGGATTTCTCTTAGTTCCTGGGTAGTTCTGGGTTCTTCTTCTTCTTGGCCCTCACAATTTATGGAACTTTCTACCTCCCTGCATCCATTCTTCCTTCCGTCTTGGTGATTTCCCGTCATTTTATTTGTCTCAGTCTTATGCTCTCACATTGGTGATTGTGTGCATGTGTGGGGGTGCTGACCTATAGGCTAGGTCCAAGACCACCTGCACTACGTTCCCAGGCTACCTGCATTTTCTTTTTCATCACACATCCTGCACTTTATTGTACTTACTTGTTTCAATGTCTGTCTTCTTTAGTAGACTGTAAGCTCCACAAAGACAGAGATAGTGCCTATCTTATTCATCACTGTGTTCCCAGTGTCTGGCATAATTCCTGGTACAATGTAGTGTGCAATAAATATTCATTAACTAGATCTATGAATGATTGACCAGTTTTTATTCTAAGCTCTCTCACTGGCCATACTTGAGTTTTTTTCCACCTGTCAAAGGTGGTACCAAAAAAAAAAAAAATACCTGCCTTTGAATGCAGCAGTAGTCATCAAAGATAAGCACATAGTATGGGTAGAAAGACTTTGGAAAGGATAAAAACCAAAGCAAATGTTAGTTATTATTGGGAATTTTTTTCAGGTTAAATATACTTCTGTGTGTGTGTGTGTGAGAGAGAGAGAGAGAGAAGAGAGAGGGAAGGAGGAGGTGGCTGAGGAAGAGGAGGATGTGTGGAATATCATAAGGAAGAGGGAAAGGAGGGAAGAACCCCAACAGCAAAGCTCTGAAACAGATCTTCCTGAAACTCTGGTATGCGGTACCCTCTGAAAGAAGCATTCAGGGCAATATACAAGATTCTGCACCTGCCCACTGCCCACCCACCCCGGGAGCCCAGGTGAGGAAGGAGAAGCAGCACGCACAGATGTTGTCGCTGCAGCACACAGCGGTTGCAGCATGTGAACCGTGTGCTAATGGGTTAAAATAGTTGGCAGACGTTTTGTGCTCCCAGGCAGATGCCAGGCTTGTTCACGGGGCTCCATAGGCAGGGACAGGGAACGGGGCAAAAGAAATGCCGATGTTCCTGCCTCAAGAATTTTTTGGGCACCCTAAAGGATACCATTCTCCCTTCCTGTCTCCACCCTCCCCGGTTACTTCAAAATACAGAATGCAGAAAATCCTTGCTCCTGGGTACCAGCGGCACAGGAGGCACAGGAGGTTTTGCTTCCACAGGCATCACTGTACTTGAAAAATCTGTCCTCTCCTAGCTGTCGATGAAGTATTTTCCTGGCACGTTTCTGGGTTCTGGCGAGAATGGTAGGGTAGCCCTTGAGGAATGCCCCGCCTGCGGCCTTGGGAAGCAAGAACAGAGGTCAGTGTCCCTCCCTCGCACTGAGCAATGCGCTGGAGAAATGCGAGATAAAGTCTGGGGCGCTGAGACG